TTTGGCCGTTGAGTTCTACACACATAGATCGATACTTGAGCCAATATCGTGCTCACTACAGGAAGCTCTGATTTTTATGTTCTGAATACCCAGATAATAAGACTAACAAATTTCTCTTTCATTAAGGGCTCAAGCACCACATCTCCAGCTTTTGGAAAACTTTGTCCTTATTCTTCTCACTAACGTTTCATGTGAGAATCATGTGCTGCATGTATAGAAGTAACTGGTAACCTACTGTATTTGAAAGAGCCCAAAATACGCTGCCCCAAATAATACAATTTCGGGGAAAATTTTTATTCTACAGTTACTGTGTTAATCATCCCAACTTCAAGCCTTTAAGAACTAAATTATTTTTGTTAAGAAGTAAATAAGTCAAAATAGTCGCATCTCTTTTTAAATTAACACATTAATGATTATTGGACAATTCGAATGATTATTCGACAAACCTAAAAGCAAAAATCCATGTAATAGGTATAGACACTGCTAGCAGAAATGGGAAGGATCCAAAGGTAAAAATTAAGTTCCATCTGTCTGTCTCAAGAGCCAATCCAGTTTTTGTTCCTACGAGCCTTTAAGCCCCATCAGGTTTGAATCATTCTTCATCCAACAAATAGTATGTGCTTGTCTTGGCTATCTTTAAAGAGGAATATACTTACATAATAATTATAAGAGTATTTTATGCAGTAGTTTGATAATAAAAACCGAGTAATCTTTATCATCTCATTTTCCTATTGAAAAGCTCAAAAGTTTTGATACTTTGGGTTACTTAAAACCTGAAAGTCTCCTATCCCTTCTTGATCTGCAAATATTCATCCTTAATGGCTCAGTTAAATGCTATCAACCTTAGGAAGTATTCCATGCTGCCCCCAAACAAACGTACCTTTCTCTTCTCTGCCCCCACACGACTTTGATTTTACATTTACCAGAGCCTTCAATGAATTCTAATGGAACTTATCACTTGCAATCAATATATCTAACCCTTACAACACTATGGCTCCTTAGCAATTTACACAACTTTGTGTCTCCAGTATCAGGGAGAACTCCTGGCACGAAGTGTTCAAGATTGTATCTGATCTTGTATGTATGGGGAGTACTTAGCTGGCCCATTCCCTATTCACAGGCACACTGGGGCATGAGCCAGCCATCTGGAATGTTGTGAGAATTACAAGTGTGGATTTATTGCTTCTCTGGTCGTCTGTAAAGTTAGCTGTACTACCACATTACAAAGTTGGTGATGGTTTTAGTTTAGAAAACAAGGCTTCCCATTTGTGGACTCTTCTGTATCCAGCCTCCCACTTAGCCTTCTCTTATACCTCAGTCCCTATTTCCTAATCACGTTCGAACTGCCCGACTCTCACGGTCTTCTTTCTCTCTAAACCCAGTATTTCTCAAACTTTAAGGTAAATAAGATTAACCCAGAGAAATTGTCAAAAACCTGTATTCTTGGGCCCTAACCCCAGAGAATTATTGCATTTTTATAGGTAGAGCCTAAAAGTCAGCATTTTTAATAGACAAACTAAATGTCTTTTTAATAGACAAACTAAACTTCTGATGCAGGTTCTCCATGCTCTTAGGAAATATTCAATAAACCTAGATTCACCCTTGGTTAATAAGGCATAAAATTCATTCAAGGGGTGCTTGGGTGGCTCAGCCAATTAGGCACCTGACTCTTGATTTTGGCTCAGGTCATGATCTCACGGTTGTGCGATCAAGCCCCACATTGGGCTCTGCACTGGGTGTGGAGCCTGCTTGAAATCCTCTCCTCCCTCTGCTCCTCTCCTGCCTGTGTACTCTCTCTTAATAATAATATAATAAAAATAATAATAATAATAATAATAATAATAATAATAATAAATAAATAAAAATTTAAAAATTACTCAAACTTCAAGATGCCAAGATCATACCTAAAGAGGAGAAAAGAGAAAATAGCGAAGCAAATGTGTTGCCAGCAGAATGAGGAGGATTTGGAGAGGGGAAGCATAAGAGGAGCATTGGGTGGAAGATAAGGAGCTTGGAGGACTAAACGGACACGTGGACATACATCATGGAAACTGGAAATTTACAAGACCAAATGGTCCCTGTGGGTGAAGACACTGAGAAAGAGGTCTCATAAGCATAGGTTTACGGTAAGTCCTGGCAGGAAGGTCCTATCTTTCAAAAAGGAGATGGGAGGGCTTTGATGATTCCAACCAGATTTAGGATAAGAAGCCCAATGTGTAATGCCATGAGGGAGTACCTATTGGGAATGATAAAGTAGGTAGGTACCTGTGTGTGATTCTAGATCTATAAGCTCCAAGCAGAATGCTCCACTTTCTACATGGGAGAGATCCAGAATATCCTGTGATAGAACTTGAAAGACAAGGAGCACAAATTTCTGCAATGTACTCAGGTAAGGGAGGCCATCTTCTTTAGGAGTGATTGGGGTCCAAACACCTACCTGTTATTGCTCTGTAAGGGGAGCTGAAATCCTCTGAGATAAGGCTCAGTCTAGCACGCATTCTGAGGAGTATTTTCATTTTTTCAAGATCAAAGCTTTAAACTACATTAACTAATTTCTATACGTAGAATTCTTATCATTACCCCACAAAGGAAGCAGGATAACAATTGGAAGCTGACATCAAATCAAATTCATAGTCACAAACTCTCTCTCACCTAAGATATGATGGCTGAGCAGTTACAAGTGAAGCCTCCAAAGTCAGACTTTCTAAAATTCCAATCCCTAACTCAGTAGATATGGGTCCTTAATTTCTAACTAATTCCCTTGCCTGTAGGGTGGAAGTAATGCTTAAGTAATGCTTATCTTGCAGTTTCTGAGAGATTTAAAAATGAAATGAGGGGCGCCTGGGTGGCGCAGTCGGTTAAGCGTCCGACTTCAGCCAGGTCACGATCTCGCGGTCCGGGAGTTCGAGCCCCGCGTCAGGCTCTGGGCTGATGGCTCGGAGCCTGGAGCCTGTTTCCGATTCTGTGTCTCCCTCTCTCTCTGCCCCTCCCCTGTTCATGCTCTGTCTCTCTCTGTCCCAAAAATAAATAAACGTTGTAAAAAAAAAATTTTTTTTAAATAAAAAAAATAAAAATGAAATGAATGAAAAGTTCCTTTCCTGACACATAATAGCTACTGAGTAAATGCTAGCTGTTGTTATATTATGAGGCATTATTATATTGTGCTATTCCAAATCAATGCCCTTTTTCCCTCTGGCAGGTTCAAGTTTCAAGTAAAAATAGCCATACTTACTAGTGCCACCGTCTGACATCAGGGTTGTTCATCTTAGCTCTACCTCTGAGGTTTTTTAAACCTGCTCTGTTCCAGTTTGCTCAGTTGTAAAGTGGACAGCAAGAGTAGCTATGTAATTGTGTGGGTTAAGTCATGGTGCAGAGCAAATGGGAAATGTGTGTATGTGGTGTATGTGTTTTATAATAGTAGATAAAAGATAATATTAAACATTTGACAGCTAGGCTTTACAAGCTATTTTTAATCATAATATTTACCTGATCTTTTGGAAAAAGCCACAGTTAGCACATTTTCCTTATCTGAAATGACTATGTCATCCTGAAATAGTGCTCTAGTCTCCTACACTGGGTTTTATTGAGGTATTTCATCGATTTGGGAGATATAATCTCTAGGCTAGCAGAATAAAGCTTTATTATTAGCTAGCTACTCAATCCCAGGACTATTCCTTATTGACACAACCAGAACTTGCCCTGAGTGCCTTTCTCTTTCGGCCTTGTAACCAAGATTCCCTGCCTTGGCTGATCATTTTTCTTAAGGCTGCTTCAGACAGAATACAGAAAATACTTACGCTCCCCATCTTTAATGCTGGAAGTCTAGACTAATGGATGATCTGGGATTAAACTATGCCAAAACTCTCAACGCTTCATTCCTTATCAATTAACTAAAGTAAGTTGGCGGTAACTTGTATTCTTTCTGTCTCAGAATGTTTTCAACATTTTCCTGAACTGACAGGCAGGAGCTGTGAAGTTCAGAGTATTTGATGCCGGACGTGAGAAAAGGAGCCTAGAACCAAGATTTCTAGTGAAACCCAACCCTTCAAAATCTATGGATAAATTTCATGTGGCGCCCAAAGCTACGAGGACAAGATGAGGTTGTCTCCAAAGTAAAGCAAAAGTTGAAAAGGCAAGTTGATACATACTATGCCCTTTGTTCCCTCTCCCTTCTCACCTTATGCCATGAACATGTTGGGAGAGCTGAGGAGGAGGGAAGACTGGTCAATGTTAACCCAGGAAGAGGGACCTACAGAAAGAAGGTCTGTAGGTCTGTAACCTACAGAAAGAAGTCTTGGTAAAACACACACACACACACACACACACACACACACACACACAATCAGAACTGGGGCTCTGCATGTTTTCATGCCCTGTGGCTCTCTGGCTGATTAAGGAAACTAAGATCTCTAAAGTCACTGAAAGCCCTGACTTTTATTGTTGTTTTATGCTAAGCCAGGAAACAGAAGGACCACAAACATTCAGAGTTCTTGATCCCAGTAAGATTTTTTCATAGTACATTTGTTCTCTGACCCCTTCCTTCTTCTGGATTCTTCTAAGTTCACACTACTCAAGTGGTACCCAGCCTAAGTGAAACAGGGAAAGCAGTATGTGCGTGAGAGCCACAGAAAGTTGGCAGGAAATTCTGCCTCTACTGCTCTCTATTTGATCATAGAAAATTTCCCTAAACTTCTTCAGTCTTCCTTCCCTTATCTGTAAGATGAGAACAGTTATATTTATCTTTGAGAGCTGACATGAAAGGAGATACTGCATCCAAAATTTCCCAATACGTACTTAGTGTTCAATATCATCTGTGTTATTATTAGTATGCTCTTGCTATCATAATTTTGGTTAGTCACCAGTAAGCAGACAGATTAATATATTCTCAGAATGTAATCAAGTGCTAGGTGCCTATTATTTTATTGATTGATTAACTGATGACTTGTGGCTGTAGATCCAGTTATGAAGTTCTGTTTCGTTCCTCCTGCCGATGACCAGAGATGAGTCCTGAAAACTGGACTCACGTGACAGGGTTTGTCCTTCTGGGTTTCCCCAGAAGCCACATCCTGCAGTTCCTGCTGTTCCTGGCTTTGATGGCAGCCTACGCTGTAACGGCCACAGGCAACCTGCTCATCATTGGGCTCAGTTGGACGGATCGACACCTGCACACACAGATGTACTTCTTCCTGAGGCATCTGTCCTTCCTGGAGCTGTTGCTCGTGTCTGTTGTGGTTCCCAAGATGCTTGTCGTCATTCTTACGGGGGACCACTCCATCTCATTCGCCACCTGCATCATCCAGTCTTACTTCTACTTCCTCCTAGGCACCACCGACTTCTTCCTCTTAACTGTCATGTCTCTAGATCGTTACTTGGCAATCTGCCGACCTCTCTACTATGAGACTCTAATGAATGGCCGTGTCTGTTCCCAACTGGTTCTGGCCTCCTGGTTGGCTGGATTCCTCTGGGTCCTGTGCCCCACCATCCTTGTGGCCAACTTGCCTTTCTGTGGCCCCAATGGTATTGACCACTTTTTCTGTGACAGTTGGCCCTTGCTGAGGCTCTCTTGCGGAGACACCCGCTTACTGGAGCTGGTGGCTTTCGTGCTCTCCACGTCAGTGTTACTGGGCTCGCTGGCACTGACCTCGGTTTCCTACGCCTGCATCCTTGCCACTGTTTTCAGGGCCCCCACACCTGCGGAGCGAAAAAAAGCATTCTCCACTTGTGCCTCACACCTTACAGTGGTCATCATTGTCTATGGCAGCTCCATTTTTCTCTACATCCGTATGTCAGAGGCTCAGTCCACGCTGCTCCACAAAGGGGCCTCCGTCCTGAGCTGTATCATCACACCCCTCCTGAACCCATTCATCTTCAGTCTCCGCAACGATAAGGTGAAGCAGGCCCTAAGAGATGCCCTGATGTGGCACAGAACCATGGCTTCGAGAGACTATGAGGGTCACAAGTAAAAGGAAATATTGGATTAAGAGGTTAAAAATGTATGCAATTTGTAAAAATGTATTTGAAGTTCAAATCAGTCCAACAACACCCTGCACTTTTCTCAGACAATTAAAAACTAGCCTCCAGAATGACGCATCATGAAAGAGAGAGAGAGAGTTCGTTTTCCTCTCTCCTCTCTTCCTGATGCCCTCCCCTCCCCATAGAGAAGGCTGATCCAGTTGGCCACACTTCAGAATTCTAGTTAGGACACATTTCCCTTGGGGCAGGTAAGCGTGTGGACTTCCTTCAGGGACGCCGTTCCTCTTCCTCCGTATGTGTATTCTCAAGCATACTTACTATTGCTTCAGGGTCCTGTCATGCAAAGCCAATCAGAGAATGCTAAAAATATGGAGACTCAGATCTGGAGCTTAGAGGGGAGTAAGAAGAAGGCTTCTGATGACTTCCATCTAGACTATTACAAACAAGATTAACCAGAACCTGAACATTGGGAAATTCCATTTGGGCTGCGGTAATAACTGTTTCTTTGATCTTCACTTGCCATTGCTGTTTAGGTGACTAGCAGCTCCTACAGGAATCTCCTGAAGGAAAAACACTGTGACCAGTGAAATATTTAGATATCCCAAATTCCCAAGTCAACTTCTTCCTGATAGACTCTAAACACAAAGCCAATCATCCAATCACTTATTTAAGAAATATTAAATACCCAGTAGGATTAAGGCACTGAGCTAGGCAGGGATGGGACCAGGGTGACGTCTAAGGCCAAGGGAGATGTCTAGGGCACAAATTTTAAAGAGACACACACCCACATGGTTGTGCAAGTACAGGGTCAGGCTGTGCACAAACCTGAGAGTATATGATTCCCTGGTGCTGCATCAAGGCCCCTCTGTTGCTGCTCTTAAATCTAGGCTGTGGAGCTAGACTGTGGGGAATAAGTTTAAGAGCTTCCATGGGGCGCCTGGGTGGCTCAGTCGGTTGGGCGTCTGACTTCGGCTCAGGTCATCATCTCACAGTCCGTGAGTTCGAGCCCCGCGTCAGGCTCTGTGCTGACAGCTCAGAGCCTGGAGCCTGCTTCAGATTCTGTGTCTCCCTCTCTCTCTCTGCCCCTCCCTTGCTCATGCTCTGTCTCTCTCTGTCTCAAAAATAAATAAAAACATTAAAAGAAATTTTTTTAATAAAATAAATAAAGAAATAAATAAAAAGAGCTTCCTGAGCTTGCACCAATGGGTTAACAAGACTCAGGGCGGAAAGCCACCACAGGGTGAAAGCACCCAGCGTAGAACAAAGCATAGAGCAGAAAGCCGCTTCCACAGGACAAAAGCGTCCAAGAACAGGTAGAGGCAGAAAGCCGCCACAGCAGGGTGAAAATGCCCAGGATTTATCATTAAGTAAAACAAGCATAGAGTGGAAAGCCGCTACAGGGCCAACACGCCCAGAGCTAATTAGCAAGAAAAATGCCTTTTTAACCCTGAGATAGCATGCTCTATCTGTCTTAGCCCCTAGAAAAGTTAAGATAAACAGACCTGGTGCCTGGTGCCTGCAGTAAACAGCCATCTGCTCAACGCCAGGACTTTGATTTGTATTTACCCTAACCCCTAAATCTGCATACCTTCAAAACCCCCTTTCTCTCACACACATGAGTTAATGGCCACTGTTTTACTGTCTCTTTCTGCACGTGTATCACATTTATAAGCCTTCTGATCCTAATAAATACGGAGCAAGGATCTTTACTCAGGGTTCTTGTCTCTTCCCAGACATTAGCCTCTCTCATATTCAATTCTGCATCCACTTTCTTGCTGGACAAGAGAGAACTCCAGACTCAAACTCTGCAACGCTAGACCTTGAGTATGTAGTAGTAAACAAGATAGACAAAGCCCTCACTTTTATACAATTTATAGTGTAATTGGGATAGCTGGCAAAAAAAGAAAAAACATACAGACAAACAAACAAGAAAACCTAAATACACACATTACTATGTAGTTGCAATTTGTGACAAATGCTTTTGAGAAAAGAGCCGAGTTTTGTTAGAGGGACTAGTAAGGAAAATTAATCTGGATTAAAGACCAGGGAACATGCCTCCGAGGAAATGAGCTCTATACTGAGGCCTCAGACTGAGCAGCAATTATCCAGGGAGAAAGTAGGGGAGCAGCATTCCGGAGAGAACGAGTAGTATTTGCAAGGACCCAGAGTCAGATGAGGGAATAAGAGAAACAAATGCACATGAGGACTGGAGAAGGAGAGGTGGGCTGAGGTCCGTTCAGATAGGACCTTATCTATAAGATTTATGGGGATCTTTCTTCCTTCATAAGGCAATGTAAAGCCTTTGAAGGGTTTTAAGCAAGGAAGTGATCAAATCATATTTTAAAAAATTAATTGGCTGCTGTGGGGACAACAGGTTAGAGGGAAACAAAGTGGATTTTAGAGAATTGAGTAGGAAGCTATTGCATGGATTTGGAGACAGATGTGCTAGTTATGACTTTACAACTGGCAGTGGGATTCTCTCTCCCTCTCTCTTGGCCCCTCCCCTGCTTATGCATTCTCTCTCTCTCTCTCTTTCTCTCTCTCTCTCTCTCTCTCTAAATAAATAAATAAATAAAAACTTGTTAAAAAAGAATTGTTTTGAGCTCCTCGGATATATTTTGTGTCCAAGAAGAAATGTCAGAAAAGAAACACCAGATGTATGACCTTCATGCCTACTTCAGCTGGAACTTTCTCAACAGGGCCAACATCATCATAGGAGCAAGTGCCATCTGACCCAAACATCAAGCCTGCATAGCAGCTGAGACTTTTTCTCTAGGAGGCACTTGGGAGAAGTTCTAGGGTACTCATTCCATTTTCTAGCTGTGTTAAAAGTTCAGGTCACCAGAACTTGACTGAGGTTGAGAACAGCACAGAAGTAAGTAGTAATCCAGGTAAGTAATAGAGTAGACAAGTGGTTTTAGCTACTCTGTAGGTCTTCTTGAACAGGCTGCCCCAGAGAAACAGCCCTCAGATTCTCAGGTCTCTGCTTCTGCTAATCTGGGGGGGAGGGGGGGGTCAGTGCTCCAGGGGACCCAGAAGGTCTTTCTGCCTCCTCCACAGTTTCTTCATGGCCACGATCACTTCCTTGTTTCTCAGGGTATAGATGGCAGGATTCAGCATGGGAGTGACCATTGTGTACAGAACAGAGACTCCCTTGTCCATAGGGAATGTCCGAAATGGCCTCGCATAGATGTAGACACAAGGCACAAAAATTAAGGTCACTACAGCAATGTGAGAGGCACAGGTGGATAGGGCTTTGCTCTGGCCCTCCCGTGAGTGGCCTCGGAGCATGACTAGCAGTGCCGTGTAGGATCCCAGGAGCACCAGAAAACACATCAAAGTCACCAGGCCATTGTTAGACACCATCAGAAGCTCTAAGACAAAGGTATCCGTGCAGGCTAATTTGATCAGCTGAGGCACGTCACAGTAAAAGTTGTCCAGCTTGTCAGGCCCACAGAATGGCAGCTGGATAGTCAGTCCAATCTGCACAATGGAGTGGATGAAGCCCCCCACCCAGGAGGCTACCATGAGGAGCCCACAGACTGTGCGGTTCATCACAAGCATGTAGCGCAATGGCTGGGAGATGGCAACATAGCGGTCATATGCCATCACGGTCAGCAGGAAGATCTTGATGCCTCCAATGAAGTGGAAGAAGAAGAGCTGAGTCAGGCAGCTGCCGAAGGAAATGATGGGCTTGTCTGAGAGCAAGTCAAACAGCATCCTAGGTGCTGTGATGGAAGAGTAGCAAAGGTCTAGGAAAGAAAGGTTGCCTAAGAGAAAGTACATGGTTGTGTGGAGGCGTGAGTCACAGGTCACTATGGCCACAATAAGGAGATTTCCAGCTACGGTCATAAGATACACAACAGAGAAGATAATAAAGAAGAGGAACCGAAGCCCCCATACCTGAGAGAGCCCCAGGAGGACAAAGCCTGTCACCTGGGAATGATTTGCTGGATTCATCTGTTTGGTATAACCTGGTAAGCGAACCTGTTGAAGAAAACGCACGTACTCGTCACGGGATCCACCAGCTTCTCTGTGATCATTTCCTCTGCCCTCTCTGGGGAATCCTCCCCTGTCTCATTTACTATAAGACGACTATCCTAAGAAGTTCTATAGGAAACCACGCATTGGAACATCCCATATTGGTATAATCAAGCACAGGAGCGTAAAACTCAGGGTAACACTGCTACTATTTATAGTTCATGAAAATCAAAAATAATCAGCCTTCAAAACTTGAGAAGTGATACACAGAGAAAAAACTGCAACCCTGGAAGTAAATGTCACTTCTCCCGGTACCTAGTGGTCTAAAACAGGAACGATCTTCCAAAATTCTCTCTCACTCCCCTCATCCATGATGTCAATTAGCCAAAATACCTGCACGCTCTCCTGCAGACTAATATCTCATAGCTATAGATAGCCTTTATTTAGAAAACCCGAAAAATTCCCACAGGCCAAATATTTAGACCTATAAAGGTCGTGAACTGCTGTCTTCTTAAAGTTAGATAAGAAAACATGTGGAAGAAGAAGCTTCCTGTCCAGTGGCTCTGGGAAACCCAGAGAAACTATAGTCCCCGGGGAAACACAGGGAAAAGCAACTAGAATACTGAACTGCCCCCCAAAAATGTGTTTGTCAGTGTTAATTTCAGGGACATCATCCAAAGAATAATTGCTTTTTCATATGAGAAGCAGCAAGAGAAGGCCACAAATATTATCTGAAGGTAAAAAATCACTATCTACGTGCAAAGCTGCCTCAACATTTGAAACCCTTAAAAATAAAAAGGGTGTTTTGTATATTTAAGTATGTTCAAAAGCTGGCTATTGGTGAGACTTCTAGAATTAATGTCTTCATACTCTTCAATGGAAGTGTGACGTGTCATTCCGCCCTTAATTTTAATTATGACTTTTCAATTATATTTTCCTGCCTTTGTTCTTTCTTTATTCGATAAACATGTACTAAGCATCTTCTATTTACTAAGCACTATATTAAACACTGAGAAATTTTCGAAAATAAGACCCATGACACATTTTGCATAGAACTTTCACCTTCTGACACCTATCCACCCCTCCAGCTTCATCATTTTATGCATCGTCTCCTCACACATACACAATGATATATACAGAGC